GACTTTCTAGCTTCAGATTAAAAGTATTCCTATTAATTAAACCCCTTATTGATTTAATTATTTTTTGTTTTTCCAAAGAGTCGATTGTGCCAAAGATGACGTTAATAGATCATACAGAGATTCATATCGCTTCGTCGCGTGCTACAATTAACGTTAATGAGCCAGCCAAAAGATCATACTTCCTAGTTTCACACAATTCGATTGTCGTTGGCGACAAGCGGAATGGAGACGCTTTCATGCTCTGTTTCGGCGCCTCGAGTTCACCGAGTTTCTACAGGATATGCCTTGGGAGATATTTTAATGGCAGAACATAGGCGCGCGCACGTAAAGCATCCATAATCGGTGTTGTACGAATAAAAATACAAAAAATTTTATTATATTACACTGTTAATTATAATAAGTAGCGGTGGGATAAATAAATATGTTACAATTAAGTAAGTTCGAATCTGTTGAGATAGCTTCGAACTCTCTGTTGCTTCGAAACATAAAAGCAATACTTTCTGTAAAAGTAGACTCGAATCTAGACAAAATGGATTCGAACTTTCCATGAATATCTCAAAAAACAAGAGTATTACTTTTAAGTAGACTCGAACCTGGATTAAATTAATTCGAATCTTTTATAAATATTTTATTAGAAATTTTACATTCCTTCGAATTAAAATATTTGTATGAAGCGACAATTATTGTAATGCATTATTTTTTGATAATTACAAATATTATCAATTGTTGAAATTAAATATAATAGAAATATAATTAAAAATGTAGAATAAAAGTTGCTTAAAGCCTTCACACATATTGCGTTTTTTAAACTAACCATTTTATTCTTAGAATCCTGGAAAATAAAATTTAATTACTGGATTTGATTCGGATTTTCAAGTACGCATTGAACTTGATTCCATCCCTAATTACGAGGCACCGCGCTCTTTCCGTCGTGTCGTTTTTCATTATCGTCAACGATCGATTGCGAAAGATTAGAAACCTGCTCTTAATTAGACTCGTCGCTATAGCTATATAACTCGGTAAATTTTTTTTTTATGTCGCACCTATTATAACGGATAGAATGCTCGTACTGTAATGCTCGTACGTTGCAGGTGATGCAGTTCAGACAGCCGGCAATCTGGTTATTTAAGCTCTTGTCTATCGGCTTCGCGTATACCGGTATCAGCGATTGGGATGCGTGCAGTGGACGATTGGAGCGCGCTTTGGACGCACTGCACAGGGATTCCAGTAGAAGAAACAAGTTGGACGAAGAAGAGGCCGGGACGTTGTATCAGCGCGAACTACATTCCGCCCCCCTGGAAATGGCCGTCTCCCGTATGGCCGTGAAGGTGATATTCTCTCCAAATGTGTTAAGATTTCTCTCCCCTTCTTTTGAGATTAAATTTGATTCGGGATTTAAAAAAATCGAAGTTTTTGTTATATATGGTGAAGCAATTAGACTTATTCCTATCGCTATATTTGTAAAAAGTTAAATAATCGAGCGCGAGTAACAAACGGATTGTTTCGCAGCTTCCGGAAAACACGAAGGAGCCCGAAGGACAATGGGCACGAGTGGAGCAATGCGTGTACGATCCCGATCGCAGTTCTCTGAGGACGCGAGTCGTGTTCAACGACCTGTCGGTGTCGGGGATGGTGTCTCTAATACCGCGGGATCGTCGCGCTCCGATCTCCGCCGAATCCTGCAGGATGACTTTGCGACTGAGACGCGCGGGGATAGACTTCCTCACCAGCCCGATCGCCCGTGGACGCGGCCAGATGCGTATACGCACGGAGTCCAGCTTCCTGGAGCCCAGGTTTGCGTCGATCTACGCGTACGGCTGCCGTTCTACGCGCATCGACAAGCAAATCAAACGGCAGGATAAATGGCCACCGTATCATTCAGCTAGCGTCAACAAGGTATAAGTTAAATAATTTAAAAAATTATCTTTTCCAAGGATAAAGAGAGACGCACTCGAAAAATGTGTTGTAAAAAAAACCTTGCTTTACTACTCTCTTGCTAATTTAGTAAAGATAATTTTTTAAATAAAATTTAAAAAATATTTCCAGGTATGATATTTTAAAATAAAGATACTTTATTTTTATACATAATTGTCAAAAAATAAAATTTATATCCGACCCTTTGATCATTACAGAGATATTAATATGAAAACCTTTAAAGTAAAAGAAAATTGAATGCAAAAAGGCTAACCAATATATCTTGACTGCCATAATACAAAAAGATACGTTATTAATAACTAAGTATTTTATTAATTAAAACGTAATAGATGAAAATTGTTTTAGCTATCGCTGCCTCTTGTCGACAACGATAATTACGATGCGGCGGAACCGAGACAATTGGCGGGCAACGCCGAAGAGATGGACATTGTCATACCGAACGAGAGTCGACATCCGCGTTACTCGCACGCCCCGGGGACGAACTTCGGTATATGGAGGAAAAATTCTTGGATCACTAAATCATCGCCACGGCGGAGACGCTCGATGGCGCGGTACGCGCGTACCGCGATGGTCATCACACCGCGGGACTTCGCGGACGCTCTGATAAATGGACGCAAATCGACGGAGAGGCTTGAGAATTTTACTAAAATTCTCAATCTGACCGACAATTTCCGAAACGAAGAACCACCGCAAAATGTGACGCGGGAGGTAAGGGAGCTCGTGGAAGACAATCTGTTTCCTATAGACTCGGAGGATCCGAACAGGAGTTGGCAGTCGAAGGAGTATATCACGAGGGAGATGGAAGATGTCTTCTTGCAGGGTGCTAGCCAAGCGCTGACCAGATACATCGAACGCCAATTGCATCCGGCAATCAAGGAGACGCTAATGCTGTCTATGGGTTACACCATCAGTTACGGATAAAAGTGAGAAGATATTCGGCATGACGATATATTGTAATTATGTATACTTGAAGTGTTATAGATACGTCAGTCGCCACCAAAACGTAAATAAAAAGTTAAATTGCCCTTGCTCCTTTTTACGATTGACGATCGTTGCGAAAATTGTTTAAATTCGCTCTGCTGGCATGCCTAAAAATTTCTTAGATTGCGCAACAATTCCTGTATTGTGTCGATTAAAACTCTTATTTGTTTCGTTTTATTTATAATTCTATGATAATCTTGTTTCCCATTATTTATAAATGCTTTTCGCATTACGACGCGATATAAATTATTTTTAATATTAATTAGTTACGTATAGAACTCGGGAATGTAAAAGCGCTTCATTTATTTTGTAATGATGTGCTCTTGATGATGGTTGCGATAGATATGTAACGTTGCGAAATATCCATTAACATATAACATTAAGAAATATTCGGTGTACTAATTGTGTAATTAAATATAGCGTATATAAATAAAGAAGATATGCAAAGAATATCTGTGTGCAACTAGATAAAATACTTATTTCTTTTTTTTTTCTATGCTAAAACTAACGTTGCAATATATTACCGTCCAGTTTCTAATTTAATATTCATAAATGAAGCACATGTTACACTAACAAACATATATTTAGATATAAAATAACGTTTAGCGCATATTAACAAGAATTGACCTATTTACTTTACAGTTGTGTATAAAAAAAACACTATTCAAGAGTCTATCAAAGTAAATATTAAACTGTAAAAAATTAATGAAATCGGAATTCAAGCATATATTTAATATTATATGCTTGATTTAAGTAACTTGAGAGATTCTTGATGAAAATTTTATTGAAAACTGTTGTTTATTAAGATTTAAAGTTAAAAATGCTCGTACGCCTTTTAGTATCTTTTTTATGCGATAATGCCTGCTTAGCGGAAGTCCAATTAGTCTGCGGTCTTCCGCGGCATTATTCTCATTAGACGCGCTGCGTAAATTAAATAGATAAATAAATAATTTCCTAGAGATCTATTCATATTATATTAAATATTAATTTGTACTGAAATATACGTCTTTTAATTTGTATTTTACGTATCGCAAAACACAGTGCGATACCATCTATAGCATTAGATAATTAATATATCACAATGTTATATACTTTGGTGTTTTTCTATCTTTCTTTTTTCTCACCACGTGCATTGATTGAATTTCTCCATGCGGAAGACGGAAGTACACACACACATACAGAGCTCATTGAACGCAGCTCAAGAAGAAGAGCGCAAAGCGCATGTCAAACAAATTAGATCCCTCGGACGGATCTCACCTAGTTACTGCGAATTTTTGTAAGTAATTCTCGCCTTCCTGGATTCCCCGATTAATGAGAAAGAAAACGCGGAAGATGAGCTTCCCCGAGCTGCGCGGGATCGACTGGAGGATCCAGCCGCCAACGGAGAACAAGAAATCACGCGTGACGCTTCGGACCGCATCGGCCTTCAACAATAACGCTTATCGGAACTTTTCAAGGTTACCGTGAAAACCGAATTTTTTTTTTATCCTATTTGTGCTTCTCTCTCACGGCTTTTTGGCTTGAAATAAAGCATATATATATCGTATAAGCGAGAGATGAAATTATCATATGAGAAACTTTGATAACTTCCTAGAACGCGACATTATTGGACCAGCGGTCACGATGTCCCGAATGAGGGTGGAAATACAAGGAATGAACAATCGCCCTTTGCTTTTCCCTCCTGCTCTCAGACCCTGGCCCATCTTCAATGGTGGAAAGCGCAGAAGAAGAAAGCGATATCCGAACGCGGTAGAAAAGTCCACAAGGATCGATATAAAATCCCCCAGTCCCGTGATATTTTGCAAAGATTACGCGTGAGTTACGATTTTTCGCTGTTATTGGGATCTGTGATGAATATATATCGTTTGCATTGCAAAATAACATTACGTAATCCAATGTATTAAATGCTCAAAATACTGACTGCTGATGTGAAAAAAAACTCTAAGAGATAGCTATGATATTTTTAATAGTTTTTATATTTTGAATTTTATGAATGTTGAATTTATGAATGTTGGACTTACGAATGCTGAATTTATGAATGTTGAATTT